GCAATATACTCCCATCATTTGCTTTGCTTCTACCACCTGCAGAAGGGTCTGGCAAGTGGGGGAGGAGCTGCAGCTGTTGCCTGGAAGAGGAGCTGGCTCCTAGCAACAGTATCAGCAGGCCCTGAAGCTCAGAGCACTAAGCCTGTCCCTTTGAGGTCTCACTCTTCATCTCAGCAAATATCTGTTGAGGGCTTACTCAGCACCAGGCGCTACTTTGGGCCTGGGAACGAGAAACAAATCAAATAAGTGCCTTGCCTTCAAAGAGCTCCCAACTCTGGGAACATTGGTAAGGGAGGAGACAGAGTACATGGTGCTCAGTGTTATGTAGAAGGAGCCATTGGTGCTTTGGGAAAAACCAGACAGGCACTGGTACAGGGGTTAGGGAAGGTTTCCCAGGAGAGGGATGGCGGTGGTGATGAGTAGGAATTAGCTAAGTCAGGGAAGCAGAGAAGGGTATTCCAGCCAAAGGGAGCCAAATGGGCAAAGGCCAGTGGGAAAAGAGCCCAGCCAGTTTACCTGGTGGGTGGTATTGCCTAGTCAGAGTAGAGCAAAAGGAAAAGGGTGAGGCTCTTAGCCTAAGCAAGGCCCTCTTTTCTGATGTGTTTTACGCACATAATTATCCTTGGGAGAAACATGGATTGTACTCATGCCCACAAACAGGATCAACTGTTTGATCTTCAGAGAGTCAGCATTTTTGATCACTGACTTGTTTGCTGACACTTTTAAGTGTCATCATAGCTACATCCTAGCCCTGCATCGATGCAGAAAAAGCTGGGTGGGTTCACTTTAAAAGTCAATGAAAGTCTTTCAGAGATAATAGCAGCTTTTTGAATTGTGAATTAAACACGGTACTAGTTGTTGTAGAAATGATAATCAAATACTTTCCTTTAGCATAGCAATTTCTTGTGTATTTGGAAATCTCACAGTTCCTCAGGAAAACAAGTATTTATTCCAGTTAATGCTTCCATACAAAATATAACCATGTGATTACATAAATACCCAACTGTTTTTAATATTTCATCTTACCTCAAAAGTGCCCTAAAAGTATCTTAATAAAAGTGATGCTTCCAAGGGTTAGACTAGCTTTTATTTAGCTCTTGTGATGGAGGTCTTCATTTGTAAATCCAATACAAACCCTATTGCTTGTGGTCTATGTAAGGTTTAGCAAATGAGTAAACTGCAGTTCTGCAAATACCTGCTTAAGGCCTGTGACATGCCAGAGCACTTTGTTAGGGAGTCTGGCTGAATTAAACACGGTCCCTCCTCTCAAGGAGCTCAAACCAGCTGAACACAGACCCAGAAACAAATCAGTAGCAGAGCAGTGAGCCAAGTACAACAAAGAAGTGTGAGGAAGGTACCGTGGTAGCAAGGGAATTTTTCATTTCTAGTCTTTGTTATACACACACACACACACACACACACACACACGGTTTAAAAAAATAGAAATAATAAATTCCAAATGTACTATTTGTAACTTGCAAATCAGTAAAAACTTTATAATTGTAATGGCTGCATAACATTCCATGGTATGGATGTATCATAATTTATTTAATAACACTCCTGTTTTTGGACATTTAGGTTGTTTCCCATTGTTTTGCTAATATCAACTACTGCCAACTTACTTTGTCGATGATTCTTTGCCCACTTCTGCATTAAACTTCCTGAGGGTAAATTTTAAAAATGACATACTGGTATGAACTGGATTCTGAAAGATGAATAGATGATCACCAGACAGACAAGAAAAGGGGGAGGGTAGGAAAGGGCATTCTAGGTAGAGGCAATAGAAGCAATTTCCAGTGCCAAAGTTCATAGGCAACTGGTAAGCTTCATTTTCCCAAACCAGCCACAGGGCCTGCCTGGTAGGCTCATAAAACTCTGGGCACAGCAAGATGAAGTTACATGTTACAAATGGCATTTTAATTGGATTTGCTTTCCTTGTGCCTTGCTTTTGCAGTTGCAAGCAAGGCAATGTCTTACTACCTCAACTCAGAAAACCACCTGGACCCAGGGCCCATCTATGTGCGAGAGAATGGGCAGCTGCACATGGTCAATCTGGCATTGGATGGCGTCAGGAGTAGCCTGCAGAAGCCAAGGCCTTTCAGACTGTTTCCCAAAGGCTTTTCTGTGGAGCTTTGCATGAACAGGGAAGATGATACTGCACAGAAAGAGAAGACTGATCATTTCATCTTCACATACACTCGGGAAGGGAACCTTCGGTACTCGGCCAAATCCCTCTTCAGCTTGGTCCTAGGCTTCATCTCCGACAACGTTGATCACATTGATTCCCTTATTGGCTTTCCTGAGCAGATTGCTGAAAAGCTGTTCTCTGCTGCTGAAGCCAGACAGAAATTCACAGAGCCTGGTGCAGGGCTAAGAGCTTTACAGAAATTCACAGAGGCCTATGGAAGTCTGGTGCTTTGCTCCCTGTGTTTGAGAAACAGGTAGGTATTCTGATTAGGATATTGAATGTTTTATTGGGTGTGTTAATTGTGTCAAGCTCTGGGGCTTTCGTAGGCTTAGAGGCTTCCTCCATCAAATAAAACTTTAGTTTAGAACTTCCAGACAAAGAGGTGCACCATTTTGAGAAAAATCACTGTCTGTCTTCCACCCTCACTCTCACAGACAACTCTTAGCTTTATTTTGAAAACACTTTACAAGGATCAGTTGATTGCCACAGCTCCATTAGGTAGAAAATACCTTTCTGTCAACTTTTCTCGTAAGAGAAAATCGCAGACAAGATGTGATCTGTTTCTTGGTATGCTTTGGGGATGTGAACATTAGCAAGCAGAGTTCTCTGCCCTGTTCCAGTTTTCAGACTACTAGGTCTTGAGCATTAGATGAAAAGAAACTTGAAAAGAGTGACTGATTAAAATTTCAAGTATCCTAAAATTTGAAAATTTTCAAATAAGGTCCAAACACTAACACGAAGGGCTATCTTTTCCTAACAAAGCAGATATATTTTCTTGTAACTTGCCTTTGCTCATATACTTCTTTTCACTTACAGTTTTTATTCCACCATCATGTAAAATGACTTTCAAAGCATCTATGAATTTTTTAAAAACTTAAAAAAAAATGTACACAGAAAAGAATTTAAAACAAACACAAAAAAGTAGAAAGGCAAACATAAGCCTTCCTCTCATCTCCTCTTTCCTCTTTCCAGAGGCCCTTACTATTATCAATTTCTTTTATATCATTCTAGAGATATTCTGTACATATACATGCATATACAGTTCCCTTTGTCACACAAATGGCAACACACTGCTTACATTGTGTGTACCTTGCTTCACATATTTTGAAAATTATTTACCATCAATACTTACAGATTTTTTAAATAGCTATATAGTATACCACTATGTGAACTTTTTTGTGATAATGTGAAAGGCAGCTTACTATTAAGATGCATAGTCAGTATGATCATTAAGACCTTGGCTGGGTAGCTCAGTCGGCTAGAGCATTATCCCGGTACACCAAGTTGTGGATTTCATCCTCAGTCAGGGCACATACAAGAATCAACCAATGAATACATAAATAAGTGGAACAACAATTCGATCTCTCCTTCTCCCCCTCCCCCTCTCCCTCCCTCCCTCTTCCCCTCTCCCCCTCTCCCCCTCTCTTCCTCTTTTCCTCTCCTCCTCTCCCCCTCTCCCCCTCTCTCCTTCTCCCTCTTTCCTCCCTTATCCTCTCTCCCTCCCTTCCCCTTTCTCTCTTTCTTAAATCAATTTAAAAAAATATATGATCGTTAAAGCAAGGCTAAACAGAAAGTATGTACTAAAAGAGAAAGTCATTCCAGAAAGCATAAGCTAAGCTCATATTGCTTGGGAAAATAAAGAAGCAATCTTTATTTAATCAGCTCATAGAATTAATATTTTTACCCCAGACCAAATATTGTATTTTAAAAAGAAAAGACATTAACAGATGCAGGAAAAAAACAGAACTGTGGACTCATGAGGTACAGACACCTTATGAAAGCTCTGTCTTTGTGCTGTGGTCTCAGTCACGGCTGAGCCTGGGGCTGCTGCCAGTGGAAAGGAAAAAATTACCTTTTCTAAATGAAAAAGTCAGGCAGTATTTCATTGCAGCTCATACATTTGAAATACATTTTACTTCTTTATTTTTTATTCCAAGTTATTTGTTTATTGTAGAAAATTTTGAACAATGAAAAATAGAATTATGATGTATACCTCATTTTAAAATTATTTTATAAAGGCAGTACATACTATTTGTGAAATACATAAAACTGTAATATTAAAAAATTAATAGTCTCACCATTCATGGTAATCACTTTCAAATATATATCTTTATACATTTGGGAATATACCCTAATCTACAACTAGTATTCTGGTTTTTTCCTCTACTTACTATTATGGCCTAAGTATTTGTCATGATAGTGAAAATGCTTTTTATCCATTTGTGATGTCTGCTTATTGTTCCAGTGGTCAGATTGGATGAGAATAGTACTTTTATTCCTGTTTAATGAGAGCATAAATTAGTGTAACATTTCTGAAAAGCAGCTTAGCAATATATATCAAGAGCCTTAGAAAACACCCATAACATTTGCTAGCCCATTAATTCCATTTACTAAGAATCTGTTCTAATTTCTAATATAATAATTGCATATAGGAACAAATGTTTTTACGTAAGAGTATTCATTATAGTAGTAAATGTAATAGTGAAACCTGAAAATTGACTATTCAACAATAGGAAATTAGTTAAGCAAATTATGGTAAATTCATATGATATATAACTATTAAGATAATATTCAGCCAAAACCGGTTTGGCTCAGTGGATAGAGCGTATGCCTGCGGACTGAGGGGTCCCAGGTTCGATTCCGGTCAAGGGCATGTACCTGGGTTGCGGGCACATCCCCAGTGGGAGATGTGCAGGAGGCAGCTGATCGATGTTTCTCTCTCATCGATGTTTCTAACTCTCTATCTCTCTCCCTTCCTCTCTGTAAAAGATCAATAAAATATATTTTAAAAAAAAGATAATATTCAAAGAGCATTTAAAATTATGTGGTGAAATGCTCATTATATGCTAAATGAAAAAATAAGAATTGAAATTATATTTATAATCTCAGTTTTGTTTTTTAAAATAAGAACTTTTATATGTATTGCATATATAGAAAGATAAAAGAAACCCACTGAAATATAATCTAGATAGTGGGATTGGAACTGGGTTTTAATTTTCTTTCTTTCTTTTCTTTATTGATTAAGGTATTACATATGTGTCCTTATTCCCCCATTGCCCTCCCACTTCCCTGCTCATGCCCTCACCCCCCCAATGTTTAATTTTCTTTATAATTTTTCATATTTTCTTAATTTTTTCTTCATGGAGGATGTGCTATTTTTATAATCAGAAAAATATAAGAAACATTTTTTAACAATCTTTTGGCTCAGATTTTAATTCCAAACTTTGCTGTCCTTTTCAGATATAAGAATAAGATTTCCAATTGTGATAAAAAAACTTCCCTTCTCCTTTTGAATTCCCCCACCCCCAAAATAGGAAGAGGGCAAGAAATTTGGGTTTACATTTGCAATCCAAGGCTGAAGCTGCAGCAGCAAAGGTATTACCAGCACAAAAGGGTTCAGGCAAAGGGAAAG